TGGAAACCACTAAAGTTAAAAGATGGCACATGTCCAAAGACGAAATAATTTTTCGGAATGTTCATAATGAGTATTTTATGACATGAAAAAGGATTTTTTAAAGGACATGCATATAATTTATCATATGTATTTCATTTATGTGCATGTCATATATAGATTAACTTACCGAGCAATTGCTTACCTATGGTGTTGGTACAAAAGGTAAAGATGGTAATATTTACATTTGAGCTTACTATAGAGGGATCAATTCACTTGCGTGTATCTTGGATATGGTTGCAAGGTGGCCATCCTTCGGAAAATAGTTATATTGGTGCTCGGTATTTTAGTTTGTTTTACGGGTATGGCTTTGTTCTTTTACATGATAGTTAAAGCCATAAAGAAATGAGTAGCTAGCTTAAAAAGAAATAGATGTAAATAAATAATAGGTCATTTTTGTAGTATGTTGCTTGGAATTGGTATATGTAAAATATAAAAGAGTTTGTATGGTAGACAGAACTTAAACATATTAGTAAAAATGTGATAGTAAAGTAATAGGTAGTATTAGCTTTCTTTAGCCATTTGTTTATATGCCAACATCATTGATAAAAATGTGATCGCTAAAATAATAAGGAAAATAATAATGATAAATGGTAATTAATGAGTATAAAAAAATTAAATATCGAGTAACGGATAATAACAAAATAAATTTATATAGATAAATAAAAAAGAAATTTGAGAAAATCGAGCATCATAGTTCTAATACATTTAATCCAAGCAATTTAAATAAAATGCAAGAAATTTGTAATGCATTTTGGGCTGAAATTTAGGACCTACCCATCATTGTTAGGCTTCCGTAGCTAATTCCATACCTAGTCATACCATAAGAAAGATACAATGCCTTATTAAGTTGCATTCATTTCACCTAGAATGTAAGTCAACGACGGTAATATTCTCGACCTATTAGATCCTAGGTCGAGGGTGTTATAAATTTTGTGTTGCTTCGGAGATACGAAACAAAATAGTGAGGTTTAATCATGAATAGATGCATGTTAGGTGCATAGATGAGTATTTAAATGATGATTTTGTAAATAGGGTTGAAGAATTTACTACATTTGCTATTACTTATTCTGAATGTATGGACAAAAGAAAGTTAAGATGTCCTTACAATCACCATAAGTGTCAAAACAAAAATTGTGAAAAGTTCACATGGTTAAATACCATTTAATGAGATATAGTTTTGTGTCTACATATTATGACTATATACACCATAGGAAAGTTGACTCGAGGAGTTATGTTATGTCAAAAAATTTTCATGAAGGCAAAGGAAGTTGTAGTCAACCTCCAATCCATATGAAACAATGGTGATGGATGCGATCCATCTATCATTTAATCGAGTTTATCACGACTGAGGAATCAAATCCTAATGCTCAAGTTAAACTATAAAAGGAGTTTCAATAGTTATGATCCTTTTATTCTACCGATCTCAAGTATCTTATACTAAGTATCCTAGCTTAAAGCACAACCGTTAGGATTGGTGGGGTGTTTGTAAAATAAAAGCTAGGGATGTGGCTGATTTGCCGAATCAACTAATGGAGTCTAACAGAATGCGGATTTGTTTTAAGAGGACACTTCGGAAATCCTACATAATTTGGTTTATGATAATGGTGAAAAGCAATCGTTGAATGATCCAAATAGATCATTTATAGATATAAAAATAATTGAAACTAATGAAAACGATAAGAGTTAATATGTATCATAATCAACCGAAAAAGAAAAAAACTTAGAAGATTGTTATGACAATTATAATTAAAAATCAATTTTATTTATTGTATTCATTAAATTATATCGTTTTGTCTATTATGTATTTTTTTTATGTTTGTTGTATATTTTAGACTTGTTGAATTTTTTTGTTTTAATTCATAATAATTTATAATAATTTTTTATTGAATTGTTGTTTATTTGTTAAACTATTTTAGGTATTATTCTTTAGTCATGTCTCATGGATTAGGCAAATTTGATCACGGTGTCAATGGTCATGACTCGATGTTAACTGTGTGACTAATAATGACAATGTACGTCGATGTGGCATCGTTGGTTTAATCGGGTGAGGCCGCACACTTGATAGTGGTGCAAGCATGTTCGTATCCCCTCTAGTAGTGCCCTCATCGGTAGTGCCCCTACTATGGATAATCCCACTATGGTTTCTTCGACTCCAAGAAGTTTTACTCGGATTTGATGATAAATTGACCATTTGGGTTATGAATAACTAGTAAATAATATGTTTTACATGCGATAATTAGTTTTATATTTTCATATATTATATTAGAATCATTAATTAATTAATTTATTATTTATTTAGTTTGTTCAACGGATTCCACCAAGCAAGTACTCCACAAAAATCATTGTAATTTTCAAAGAGTGGTTGGACCTGTAATTTTCAAAGAATGGTTGGACTTCGTTGACTCCACATAGAAGTCCGTCTCCATAAAGACGAAAGACTTCTACTTCAATAAGTTTATGATAATATATTAATTATTTTCGTATATTTTATTTAAAGGGCTAATTTAACGTAAAAAGTATTAATATTATTTTTTCCTTCATGTAGAAGTACATTTATGGTATGCGGTACGTCGACGTACTAATTAAGAATACGTGAAAGAGTCCGGCATGGAGGAAGTATGGAGACATACGCAATAAGTCGAAGAATAAGGATAATATACCTGTGTATGTGGGAAGCATGCATTAAGATTGGGCCACTCCTTAGTATAAGGTCTAATCTCATAAAGCATCTCGTAATCACATGTCGGAGACGAGATGGTATCGGTGCTAATCCATCCAAGCATAATGAAGGATCCATCTCTTTGATCAAGCACGATGAGCGTTTAGTAAATACTATATTCTCCATTATGTTATAAATTAATTTTTTATTTTATCTCATATTATTTTGTTTATTTTTTTAGCATCATAAATTGGGTCGTAACTCAAATCCTTACGAGTCGTTCGTGACCACTTGCAAGCGGAAGTATGAGACATTCATTGATAGGTGGTCGTACATAGTAATGGTAAGGTTATATATATATATATATATATATATGTGTATGATTTCATATTGTTATTATTTTAATAACTTAGAAGCACGTGCAATCAATGTAAGAAGCGACTACTAAAAAGCGACAAAAGGGTAATGCATCGTCTTAAGATCTCAACATGTCCAAAATAGATTTGGATGCTATCATAGGGGAGAAGAAGTAGAGAATTTATGGTATCAAAACTTATGCATCCTAATGTTACTCAAATTCTTGTGTCGACTCCTTGTCCGTCACTTTGCGGTATCTTAGTGGTAATATATAAAGGGTTTTTACTCGGTACGAAGATCAAATCAAGATGATGGAGGCTACCATCCAACAACAAGTCGATAAAGTTGACGGTATGTAGACTCGATTACGGAGAGTTTTGGGGTTGTTAGAAAACCTCCGGTTGCCTCCCGTCCCTTCTATCGACCCTCTCACAATCCAATAGTCGATCATTTCTCTCAATAGCCAGTAGCCAAAAGATGATGCAAGAGATGATGATAATGAAAACCAAATTTAAAAAAATATATACTTTTTAATATTTGTATATATGATAACATATTTATATATTTATTTTATTTTAATTAATATAATTTTAATTTTATTTAATAATATAGCATGTTTTAATAAGATGTTGTTTTGTTTGTTGTTATAATTACCAATAAATGATATTTCATTAAAAAAAAATGATGATGAATTTAATGATGAAATAGATATGATAATTAGTGATAGATGAATACTCGGTTACTAAATAGCAACATAAATAGTGACAAAATTCCGAGAATATTAACAAACAAAAATTAGCAACAACACAATCTGTCTCTATTTAATGAAAAAAATAGGTAAAAATAGTGACGATTAGTGATAGATACGAGACATTAGAAATGACTAGTTTAGACCCATTTAGCGACAAAATATTAACGAGAATAGTGACAAAAAAACCCATCATTAAATAGCAATGAAAAAAACTCATCACTAAAAAAATAGCAACTACCACTTTAGCTACGGAGTTGGATTTGGTTTCTAATCCATTGCTAAAGCCATTTAGCGATAGATTTACGAAAAATTATAACGGAATAATCCATCATTATTTTTCGAAAGTTTTGTAGTGAGTATAAATAAACATAATTATAATGACTACGATAACACATAAATGATATTACAATAATATGGTCAAATCAAGAAAAATTAGAACAATCATAATTGTATCACCCTAGCAACCATAATTATCGTGCTCAATTTAGGATTTGACATGGTAAAAGATTCGAGTGTAATGGATTAGTGAGTCAACCCACGTCAAATTTATTTAGTATATGTTATATTGTTGAAATTTCCTTTCTAAAAATGCATATAGCACAATGGCAATATGTTTTTTTAATTATTAATTGTCGTGAATTTGATCTCCATTTGTAATTTTGTTCTTTTTTTTTTTTCCTTTTTAAGTCAAAATAGTTTGTTTTTGTTTTATTTATTTAAGTTTTGACTTAACAAGATATTGATTGGATCAATATGTACAACATAGTAAAAATTTTCATTATAAATTTGATAAGATTAAATCTTAAGTCTTCAAATTTCAAAATTACTCTAACAAATCAACTTGCATTTGATAAGTAGGTTTGCGACACTAGAACATATAAGTAGTTAGTACATAATTTCAATGTATTCCTCTCTCACTTGCACAATTACAAATTTGTGCAAAGAGACTGCAACATAACAACTTTCCATAATTTTCCATATAAGTAGTTAGTACATATAAGTAGTTTTTTATATAAATTATTATAAATTATAATGTGGAGCGTTATATTGGTAGTGCTTAGCCATTATACCAGTACCCTTATGTGGTGCAATATTAAGGCCCGTTTTAGAGGTTTCATTTATTTGGGCGGGAAAGTCGCCAGTTGATAGAAACGACCACCAGTCCATTTGTTAGACCAAAAAGAAAAAAAAATCATGACGACGACCTCTACGTTACCAGAAATAATCGAACTCTTCTCTAAACTAGCATTAGACCTACAAACCCAAACTCACAATTCGCCATTCAATCAATCACAAGAACAAGAGGTTAATGATTCTTCTACCGATCCCTCAATTTCAAAGCTAACTCTGTCTCTCACTCACAATTCTAGGGTTAGGGTTTTGGACACTGCTTTATCTCTCATGTGCTTTAAAGCACCACAGGTCTGTCATTTCTCTTCTCTCTTTATATATTTAGGGTTTATGGTTGCCTACATTGCTTGATTTTTAGTAATGGGTTTTTATTTTAGGTTCTTGATTCGGTGATTGAGTATTCAGTAAAGACAATTGTTAGTGTTTTGTCTTCTTCAATAAGTTGTGAGGTGTTCCGGTTTCATAATGAAGAGGTTTTGCAGATTGGTAGCTTCATTTCTCGCAGCCATTGCGTGGAATTAATTGTATTTGTTTTTGATGTTATTTTGAAATTGAGGAGCATGGTGAGTTTTCTTCTTCTTCTTCTGCTTCTTGATTTATTTAATCTCCCTTTGTGTTTTGATGTCTATTGAATTGTAGTGGTAATGTTCAAGGACCATTTGTTGTGGTTTATTTCTACTTTAATTGTTTTAGTTTGATTTGGATAAAGTAATAAACCCTAATGTACAAAATAAAAAGTTTATAGATTATAATTTGTTAATTTCTCATTTGCAACGAGGTATGAGGATTGATTTTATTGGATGTGTTCTTTTCCACATATGAGTGTCTGATCCTCTTTTCTTTAAAAAAAAAAAAAATTGTTGTAGGGATGCGTATTGATTTGCTATTATCTGCTGTGATTAGAGTTGCAGCTTCCGCTTCTTGCTATAAATATATATCTCCATCAATGTGTGTTCTTAATGGTAAACCCATTGATGGAAGTATCACTGCTATCTCAAAGCTGCTGGGTCACTTATCCATGTTTTTCTCCTTTAACGACCATGATATACCAACAAGGTTTGCTGCAACTACATCTCTTACTATTCAGTGTATAAATTGTATTATTTCATTTTGTTTTTGTGGCATGGCAATTGATATTGGTGCCCAGTAAACTTATCTTTGAGGTTTATTAGTCAATCCCTTTGACTAGAATATGATAACAATCAAACAGAAAAGTTTAAGAAATTGACTAGGATGCTTTATTCATCCTATGTAATAACTTTTCCACTTATACTTTGTGTTGCTTTGCAGGTTGTTATTCTGGTACCTTGACCCATTATCTCTAAAGCATGATATTTCAAAAATATTGCAAGAAACCATAAAAAGACCTTTCCTTTGTTTGAGCGTGGAATTTTATGAGAGGATGGATTGGCGCTCTATTCTTATATGCCTGGTATTTTCTCCAGTTATGTTCATTGATACCCGAGCTCTATTACATGGCTGGTTTCTGCAGACGTGAGTTCCTATTTCTTGATTTTATGGATGCTCCTGCCTATTTTTTTTTTTTTTCACATTTCTTAACTTCTCATAAAGAATCATTGTTAAAATTTTATTTGAATTGAAATTCTTCCTGGAAATTCACTTCTGTTATCTGCTCGAAACTTCTGATAATATTTGCTGCTAAAACCTTGTCTTATCACACCAATAGGTATATCACATCTTTTTGTTTTTTTTTTTTTTCCCTTATGCAACAGGGGTCTTAGTTCCATACTAGAGCTTTTGATGGAATTAGTTTCAGTGTTACTAGATGTAATTTCTAGACCGACATGGTGGGGCCTATCAATAGAGCTGGGATCGAAGCTTCCGTTTTCTAATGCATATTTTCCGTACAAAAGTGATTTTTTTAGGACTTTAACTGGACCCCTCTCGTATGAAAGTTTCCTACAATTAGTTCACAGAATAAGAAAATCAGCTTCTCTTTATAGAGAACTATGTGATCCAACTATCAAGCCTTCAGCAGTGAGGGTTGCATCAATAGATCACAAATCTATCTGGTAAATTCTTACTCCATGTCAAAGAAAATAGCAAAGAGGCAATTACTACATAACAACCACTATCTATAACTTATTTGAAATGTTTCATAGCAGGGCCTTGGCAATAAGCTTTCCAGATTGGTTCTATTTTGCTTCAGTTTTACTCTTCTCTGACAACAAAAATTTCCAAGAAAATTTTCAAGTAAAATGCCCATTATGGGTACCCAAATTTGGACAACTACCTGCTGCCGCTGCAGCTGCAACTTTTATTGCTTGGATTCTGAGCCCTGTTAACAAACATAATCAGGATGCACTGTTTGATAATCTGACCAAACTGTCAGAGCGTTGGATTCTGAAAGAAAGCTGCTCGGATAATAGTCAGAATGGGATGATTGGCTACAAGAAGAAAGTTAAGAAACCCAAATTTTGTGACAGCAAGGAGAATTCTACTCTTGGAAACAAGTATGATTCTCAAGTCATTATCCTCTGGCTCAATCAATTCCAGAATATCATGAAGCATAATGAATCCATTGACAAGTCGGCATGCTGTGAGGCAAAATCTTATGCTGTTCACCAGCAGCATGATAGGCTGTTCAGAAGAATACCATTAGGCATCTTGATTGGGTCCTCCGGTTATATGAACGAAGATGGATATGAGCTACTGCTTCATTATGCTGCCACAAGTAGGATACTCTCCTCACACGGAACTGAGAATACTAGCTTAAACCATGTGAACCAAAATTCTTCCAGGCCAGAACAATTGATTGGAGGGATTAACAAAAAGGAGGCTGTATCAGGAGCCTGTCTTGTCTTCAGTTTAATTGATGTTGTTGAGAAGATGTCTGTCTCACTATTTGAAACTGAAGAAAGTAGAGTGGGCTTTATATGCATGGTGAAATTAAGGGCTGGCAGGTACTTGATAAAGTGTATCAAAAGTTTAATCCAGTTTAATGTTGATGAAGATGGAGTGCCTATGCTTTTGGATCTCCAAGGTAGATTGGAGAGGTGGAGGCATCAAGGGAAAGAAGTATCAGAGCTTCAGAAAGATCTAGATGAGGCCCTTAAAGGCTTAAGCCATGAATTATCATTATGAGATTCTTAAAGCTATGGAGCCCCTTCCTTATGCTCTGCCTCGTTGAGAAGTTTTACCAATCAGCATAGGAGATTGAGTCTATTGGAAGCTTACTAATAATGGAACCTTGTGTATTAATAGTGTATGGGTTATATTAGATCTTCAAAGACAAGAATGGACTGGTTTAAATTGGTGTGAGTCCTTCTGATTTCCAGGTAGAGTTATCAATCATTCTTAATGGGTTTCCAAGGAACTGCAGAAACAGTGGAATAGTTATTAATCCTCACTCTTTCTTTTGTTGTCGAGATACGGAAACCAGAATTGTCAATTTTTTACATGCAGGAGAACTCGGGTAATCTGGGCTGAGAACTCTTTATAATATTCAAAAACCAGTTGATGGATCACATCAAGAGTTGTGATATTTGCTCCTTTGTAAAACAGGGCTTTTCTTGTCTGTCCTTTTAAGAATAGCTTGGTAGTTAGCCCTCGTATGTTGGGTGAAAGCAACAAGGACTGCACCAGCAAGCCGTATGAATTTCAGCAGTATTTTCCACTCAATTTGCTTAGATGTCAAGATGAAGATTTCTGCTGTCAGCTAAGCTATCAATCCCCTTCATTACTTTTTTATTTTTTTAATTTTTTTCTTTAGTCTTTTACCTTCGTTGTGAAGCTTTTGTTTTTCTGGTTGTTAGGTGCAGTAGTAGCTTCATTTTCATTGTTAACAGTTTGTAGATGAAATTGATTCACGATTACAAAAAAATCATAGTACTGGAATATTTGATAGGAGTCGTATTGCAGGATAGTAGAAGAAAACACATTTTGATGTCCCGGTTGCTTATGTATTATGAGATTAATACAGTGATGTGAACGCTGCCATTTTGTAGGAATTAAGGTATTCTATGGGAATGTTGTAATCGAGAAATCAACATTGTTTGAAGTACAAAATTCATACAAAAATTTGTTTGGAGGTAAAATTAATACTAATCCAATATATGCGGGTATTGAGGTTTGCCTTTCAAAGAACGACAAGAAAGAGAGCATGAAGTTTTTATTTAGAAATTAACGATACAAATTCCATTTGAAATCTATTAGCTATTCCTTTGTATTTTATTTTGCAAGGGACAAACTTACAGAGATTCAACCCCAACAAGCTAAGGACTTGCCTGTATGAATATGTAAGACTAAAAGCTTGCAGACTATATTTAGCCTGTTTATGATATATGCAGCTGTAGTTGACAAATAATAGCTTTGCCTCTGCAGAATGTACATAAAGCATCTTTCAACCATTTCACCATCTTCATCTGGCTTTGCCAAATTCTGTATATATATTTTTTTCCCTCCTATGGGAATTAAATCCATCGACCTTGGTAATCTGCAATCTACATGCCTGAAAGTCTCAAGAGGATGTAATGTAGTGTCTGTACTGAGATGAAATGGCCTGGTATTTCAATTATTTGCTTAGAGCTTTAGGAATTTCAGGACTTCAGCTGCAGACAGCCTCAACTGATAACTTCTTTGTGCTATCTGGACATGGATCTCCTCCAAAAACCGCAGGAGCTACTGTCACTGAACAGGACTGCTTTCCAACGCAATTCTGCGAAAGGTTCTTTGTGTCAGTCACATAAAGTTTGCGAAAGCTAAGGAATCAAGGAGGAAAAAAAACACAGCTAGAATTTGAGCAAATTGGTAAGCTTAATTTCATATTGGTGATAAATCAGCATCATGGACGAACCAGTTCACATCCAAGGCATAGCATGATTTTTCAAGCAAAAGATGAACTGAAAAGGAAAAATGATTGAACCAAAATAATCAGCATAGGCACATTAGCTCAAAATGATGATGTAAGTCAAAATTCCCTACTAGGTTTTCAAAGACCCAGAGAATCAGAGACGGGGAACTGCATAAAATTGTAAACCACCATGATATGTAGTCTCACACTAAAAAGAAGCTGTTAACGTGCATACGCAACATTTTCAAGTCAGACTGAACTAAAATAGGCTTTGATGAATTTGTGTTCTATGCTGAGTGGCCTTAACATCAATTGTTTTACTACTGTAAAAGTTCTCATGTAACATATATATATATATATATATATATATATATATAGGGCAAAACCTCAAAGAACATAGTAGGTCTCAGAGATTAATATACCCTTTGTAAGGCATCGTATGACTGGTGGGCATGACAGCTCCCCTCTCGAAAGCTTCCACATGTCCCCTGAGGCATTCCGTAGCTAGCGAACTTTATTTGGGATATATTCTGTCCTGGAGGACACCACAAGTGGGCTTTGGGTTGCAGGCTGTTTACTTTGCCTGAGGCTATCACATGCCAGTTCTTCAGTGTTGGCTGCCCTTCAAAAACATCCGCACAGACACTTCCAGTAGTTCTTTTGACAAAAGAAATTCCATTTGGATCACCACCCCATTCTTCAAACACAACTAAGAGATTCCCGCTCGGCTTAAGCCATGAGCGAGGAACATGGTACCTGAGATTAAGGCTATTTAAATTGGGCAAGCAAATGATAACACAACAAGCTACTCATTCCTAAAGCTTTCTTACCATCTTTGAGAGGGCTCCCCGCAATTAGTTCGACATTTTTTATCATCAAATGTTCCAGCATAATCGCAATCGCCGCAACCACCATGAGCTATGTATCCTGGCCAATGCCGTCCGATATTTTGTCCATTTATCCATATCTGTCCTTTTCCCATGCTACTCATATCTAAAGCCAGTGGATCATTGCCTTGCGGTGCATTCAAAGTAGTCTGGAAATACCAAGCCATGGTTGATCTCTTAATAAAACATCTATACCTTTGGCCAAAATAAAATGACAAGTAGTCACGAAAATATCACTTACCTTGTACCAGGTTAGTGGTTGTTTTTTAGCCAATAGCGATCCTTCCTCCCATTCCACAGATGTACTCCCACTAACAGTATGAAGGCTCAGGGATTCACCTTTCAGACCGATCTGCTCAGGAACATAGCAAATAATTTTATTGATTCTCTTGCTTTTTCTGACTCATCATTGACATAAAATTAAGAGGTCATAATCTATGGCCACATATGTGGAAGCCGTAAATCCAAATCCTGACCAGTGCAGCAAATCCTTGGTTGAAAAGAAATGCTTCAGCTTCTTTATTGGCACTTAATTTTATTTAATTTATTTTGCAATTCGGCTATCTAACAACTCCATAATTTTTCAATGTGGAGAAAGATAGTGGACGTCAGAAATGTTTTAGCAGAGGAAAAAAAAAACCTTGTATGACCATTTCTGCCCTGACAGGTCTCTTGTCCCCTCATTCAGACCCTTCAGAGTGACTGGGCCTAGAACCCCGGCATTCCATGTCTCAAAATGTAGGCCAACATTCTGAGATCAATCAAAATGATAGTAGATTAAGTTCAAATAGCTAATTTTCCGCCAAATTGATGTCACTTAGAACATAGACAGAAGGGAAAACGAGAGAACTAACCGGGAGACCAACAGCAGCACTTAGCAAAGAAATCTTGTTAATGCCGGCTGTCAATTTGACGTTCTGGCTAAACGTTAACTTAGGATTTGATAACCCCCATATGCGGTTCCTGCGACGAGATTAAACTGAAAGTTTAATACAAGATGGATGTGGAAACTGAAGTCCGTTAAGAATAACAGGTTAATAAGAATAATGATACCCTATCCCACCCACCTGTCAGTTGACCATTGATAAATACATGCAAAGCATGACCAGCGGAGAAAATTGTGAGAAGAGGATTCTGCCCACTCTTCAGAAATCCTTCATCGGCATCTATTTTGACACTGAATAATCAAGAAACGTTCAAGAATAGTGTAAGCAAGAAGAAATGCAACAAAAAACACCCACAACTTAGCCCTTAGAATCAGCTTGTCTCAAATACTGTAGGACTGGACTGATACTCACTCTGTCATGTACCACAAGTAGTCCGTAGCATCCCTGGTCACATTGATTTGCTCCAACAACCCATTCATTGTAGTTGTATCATCATCATCAGCTGATGCAGTTTCTTCCTTGTATGATTGCCATGAAAATAAACCACCCATAGGAATCATTTTCATTTGTGAGCTTTGGGCACCGAGCTGTACAAAAATTACCATCAGACATCAAACTCATTGTTGCAGAGTTGTCCTGTATTTAGTGTACTAAACCTGCTTGTGTATCATCTACTAGAACTCCTATGAGAGATCCTTAAAGAATTATAATGGCAAACCTTGATAATCGATTACTGAAAGATTAGGTGAAACTGACATGGAGAACCACAAAGAGGTGAAGAAATTGAAATTTCTGTTGTAAGCAAGAGACTATTCCTTACCCTTGCTGTGTTATAAACCTCAGTCTTGCAATCAGGGAGAATGCTGACGGACCAAGGAGGCAAGTCATATTCTCCATTACCAAAGGTCACCTTCACAGAGTATTTTGTATCATAGTTTGAAAGAAATGCTGCACATACTGACTTTGACCTGAATACATGAGCCTATAAACAATAACAGTGATGATGAGTAAGCCAGGCTATATATATGTGTGTGTGTGTGTGTGAATGAAGCTACAAAAGTTCAAAACTTGAGCCTTACCTCTTGATTACTCCCAAGTGAAGTTACAGTGGGATCTACAGAAACTAAAGCAGGTTCACATAGCTTTATGGCTTTATGCAAATCTCTCAAATGTCCCCACTTTGGTTCCCTTGGTAGCCCTGGTTCAGAAGACAGGCATCCTCCTTAGATCACAGTGGATTTGGATGTGTATCTTTTTGCATGTTTAAGTACGTCTCAACACAGTAATTTATAAATACATATACTGCAATGTGTTACAAGAAATAACGAGGATAGATATATGGGTAAAAAACTTTATCGCAACCCACTTAAGGGCACATACCGAATTCATCAACAGGGGCGTCATAATCGTAGCTAGTGGCAATGAAGGGACCACCAGCGGTTCTACCGAAGTTAGTTCCTCCATGGTACTGAAAACAGGAAAAAGGAAAGCGCCCAAGAAATGAGTGATCGGGAGTCGGATCCATCTGTTGGGAAAATTAAATTTGGAAGGTTTCTAACCATATAATAGTTTACGTATGAGCCACCATTTTGTATGAACCTTGCGACTGAGAATGCCATATCTTCTGCTGGCCTATGAGGAACTGCACCACCAAATTCAGTATACCTGAGGGCAAAATGAAGCGAAGAAAAAAAATTATTTTAAGGATAATTAGTCGTGTGGAAAAATTCAAAAACACATGTTTCAGCACCAAATATAAAAAATAGAAAACGTGAAAGACAGAAAATAAAAAACAATTTTTTTCCCCCTTCCTGCTGCTTGGCTCACCATCATCATCCGTGTGACTTACCAGCCAGTCCAAGCCTCTGTCCATATTTTGGGTTTATAGTCCTTGTTTGGTTTGAAGTTTTCACAGTAGTATCCATTACAGGTGTCAATCTGCAAACCATATAAAAGAAAAATAAATGATAACAACCTACCTGTTTGAAAGCTATACAATCCGAATGAATGACATCTTGACCTATTTATTCATTTTTTAATCTTTAGCAGAATCTTCACCATGGAAATTAAAATAAGGTCCATCATCAAGCAACAAGGAGAACACGCTCATCGTGTATATTATTTATAACACCAAAAACAAAAACTTCTTCCGTTTGTCGATTAAAAGACAGAAAAATAAAGAGAGAGAGTTGTATGACCCCATAAAATTTAATTGAATAGCAAAAGCAAGGCTAAAGTGCATACGAGAGTAATATATATATATATATATATATATATATATAGGTCCGCCTAAATAGACAACGTAATCGATGAACATGAAAATAAGCTAAATTGCCAGAATTGCTGACCATAGGATCTGGTGCATCTTCTTGCTTGCACATAATCCATGGGACTCCCGTGCCAAGTTTCACTGCCATGTCCGCTGCCCATTTTGTGTAGGCTTTACCAGGAGCACCAATTTGCCATTCCACTGGTCCATATTCGTTTTCTATCTGTTGCAGATTTAAAAAAAATAATAATAGTAATAATAATAAATCTTAGCAACTTTTCTTCACAAATGAAGTGTTTAAACAAAACCAAAATCAACAAAATAATTAAAGCACGCTTCCAGAACGATGATAAGGACATGAATAGGCTCATTATTCCTTCTTTATCCATTAAAAGAGTGAAAAAACGGCGACGTGACAATTTATTTAAAAACTTTTGTTGAGTAATGGACCAATTGAAGACAAAATAGAATAAAAAAGTAATATAATAAATATAATCCATTCCTAGAAACAAGGTTCGGAATGGAAATTTCCAACCTGAGAAAGAATTATTGGACCTCCCTGAGTTTCAAACAACTTTTCTGACTTCATAATGCCAACAATCTTCTCTGTAAACTTTTGCATTGCCGCCTTCATTGGAGTTATCAAAAAGTTAAAAAAACTGATGTTAAGCCACATTGGATCAATTTGACTGATAAATCCGAAGAGATTAAAGAAAAGGATACTCAAAATCGCAATGAAAGATTCCAAGTAATAACCTTGAAAGGCCCATTGTCGGTTCTAAATTCAATACCAGGAACATATTTTAGCCACACAGGAAATCCCCTGAACCAGAAGCAGAGCATGTGATTTCTTTTTCTTTTTTCTTTCGTTGAAAAAAAATAATAAAAATCAATGACACAGATTTCCATGTTAGTCAAAGCTAAGTAAAATAAATAGATTGTGAGTAATTACCCAAAGTTCCATTCAGCACAAACATAGGGGCCAATCCGCAGATGAAGGTAAAGGCCTGCTTGTTGAACCAACTTGATGAACTTAACCAGATCATACCTGTCCTCAAAATAATACTGATTTTTTTTTTTTTCAAAGAATGAAAAGCATGTTAGTAATTTGGGGAAAAAAAAACAAGAAGAAGAACAAAGAAAGGCAGAGCAACTGCAGAAGATAGAACAGAATGGAATTTGCATTACGTTTCCAGGAGTAGGCTCATGTCCATTCCAAAAGACATAAGTTTGGATCACATCCACACCTCCATCTTTAGCCTTTTGAATAAGATCAGGCCACATCTGGAGCCACCACAAAATCAAAACTCCACATAGGAATTGAAAGAAAGCAAAAAGATAAAAAAGCAAACAAAAAAGAAACCCGATTATTCAAAAACATGGAAAGTAAAATCAGCAGGAAGAAAGAAGGATAAAAAAGAAGGAAATAAAGAAGAAGTCATGAACCACATTGGAATCAACGGTACCTCTGGAGTGCTTCTTGGGTAGTGTACCGAGCCAGAAATAAGAATCCTTCTCTGTCCATTGATTATAACAGCTTTATGATCATAGGACACAGAAGCTGTAACAGAAGAAAGGCATGAAGAGAAGAATAAGAGTTGCAGCAACATGAACACGTTCCGCATAATTCTGTTTCTAGCTAGCTATATCACTCAAAGCAATAAACTTCTGCTCTTTGTATGTCTACTTTTTCCTCTTTAATGGTAAGTGTGTTCGTGTGCGAGAGCCTTTAATTGCTTTCTACGTACATTTCGAAAAAATTGGAGAGGGAGAAGGAGTATAGGAGGACAAGGAAAAGATTGTTTTTCTTTTTCTTTTTATTTTTATTTTTTTTCTTGTTTTGAAATAAAAGAAGAAGGGAAGAAGAAAAAGAAAGAGGTGGCAGAGGCAGAGTTCAATGTGAAAAAACGGGAAAGGAAGTGTTGCTATTGTTACAAGAGCGAGAGCGAATTGGAGCGAATTGGAGTTATGGTTGAGCAACTGCTTTTTTATAGCCTTTTTTTTTTTTTTTTTTCAAGTTTCTATGAATATTGAACACTGTTAAAAGTGGGCTCCTTACGTGGGACCCACACTTTTCTCTCCTCTCAGACACGGAACTTAGTTTGCGTTTGCTCCTTATTACGTAACCTACTAATAGAGTTGCGACAAATTATTAGATTTTTTACATATCATTAAATTTATTACTGATTCAGTATTAATTATTTTATTCTATAATTATGGATATATTTTCTAAAAAGATTTACATTCTAAATTTGATTTATTAATAGATTATTTGTAATAGTTCTATTGGTTTAGTCTATATAATATTAGATAATGAACCAGTTTTGCGTAATAAATTCTACTAAATCAAATCAAACCAAATATATATTTCACGGACTAATGATAAGTAATTTTTAGTTGAGGAGGTTAGTACCATTTAGCCAAAAATAATAGGACAGCCTCAATATGGAACCTTTTATTTGTATCAAATTGGCAAATTGAATTTTACATTGAAAATTTTATAAATTTGACTTTATATAGACAATGCAATCTAACTAACCTCAATTGTTTATAAAAATTGATTTAGGATGGAAAATATTAGCCATTTGACATTTTGAATAAGATATTTAACTTTAATTTTAATTCACTAAAGAGTAATTTAACAATTGTACGACTTTGCCTCGTCACAATCCAAAAATACATATTTGGACAATATATAAAGGGTTTAATTACAATTTTTTTCCTTATCTTATTATAATATGATAATTTCAGACTCTTAGAATCAAATCACGTAATTTGAATTCCAAAGTATCGGGTTTAAGGTAAAGCTGATTCAATTTTTCTAATTATCATTAAATGTAACATTCAACTAATTGTTGTTTAATTTTTTTTTTAAAAAAAAAAACATTTACAAGAGGGTTTTAAAATTAATTGGTGTTAGATTAGAGAGATAAGGCGACCAACTAGTTGCTTGCCTTATCTATCAAATATAACCTAACATTTGCAAAAATTGTTGGGGGAGAGAGTAAGGTTTTTTATTGTAAATGTTTATTACGTAATTGAAGGGGAAGAGAGAGATGAAGGATCATGCATCCTATGGAGGTGCGGAATAAACAAAAATTTTTCCTCCATCTAAAAGCTCAAAATCAAACCGTTGAATCTACTAACTATACATGCATGAATTTAAAGCAATAAATAAATGATTACCTCTTGTAACATAGATTTAAATTTTTTTATCGGAAAATGCGCCAAGTGTCCAGCCTCCATTGATAATCCACGCAGATCTAAGTATCCATAAAGAAGCATTCAAAATTGAAAGAGTGTTAGCTCCATCTTTTTGATTTGTGTAGTGTTTCCTATAGATAATCAATCCCGGGTAATTTTATGACAACCTTAAAAGAGAAAAAAGAGTGTGGCTTGCTAGGGCTTTGGAAAAAACTATTTTATCTTATTTTTTTCTCTCTTGGCCGTGTACCCTAGTGATTATTTTTAAGCTGGCCAAAATTTCTCTTTTTTCCCCTTTTTTTTTATGTTATATCCGCACCTCTCTCTCCCCCATCTATTTATAGGACAATGTCCTCTAAGGACAAGGAAAAGGGCGGCATTAAGTCCCTTTTAGGATTCTAGGTTGTTGCTTTCTTATCCTCCAAGGATGAAGAGTTATTTTACATGTAGACTTTTAGTCATTATCTTTAAAATATTCATCCTTATCCAATAAGGTTGATGGTTATCCTCTTACCAAAATAACTTAAGGTTTTTAATTAAATCTAATGTGTCATAACCGTTTTAGCCCAATTAATTTATTTAGACTATCCAAATAAATAATCTTAGATTATTTTAGGCACGTCCACATTAGGAAACAATTTTTCAAAACACCATTTAATCTAAATTAGAAAACTCGTTTTCATTTTAGGTTATTTACTTTTAAATTTGGAACTAACTTCCAAATTAGAAAACTGATTTTTAAAATAGGAAAATTTTCATTTTAGAAAACTTCCTAATTAAGAAAAATTTCTATTTTAGGAAACTTCCCATTTAAGGAAACTTTCCATTTTGGAAACCCTTTCCTAAATAGGAAACTTCCATAATTGAAAACTTTTTCCAATATTTTTGCTTCTCATTTATAATGTGAGTACTTAAACTTATGCATGTGACTCAATAAGCTCATGGATATGTTAGCAATGTATCAAGAATAAAAGACTCCTCTTTTATCTCTTGATACATACATCAAGATTGGCATCTAGCAAGGCGTCATGATTATCCAATTCTTTAAGAGGATTAATTAATCTATTATTATCTTTCACGAGCATGGTTACTATACAATTCGAGTCCTCATATCAACTTATTACGGTGTGATCTCAAACTTGGTTATAAGTCTTATTCGATTATAATCACATAAGTTTTCTTTGATTCCCAAATGTCTTAGCTCTTAGAGTAAACTAACTATGCTCTATTGGTGTACTCCTACTATGGCCATAGATTTCTTGAGTAGATATTTATCGAATTGCAATGTGATAACTCCTTTAGCATACAAGGAATGACATGTCTTATCTTAATCATACACCTACCTCTATTAGACTCTTAGTGCACCCAACAAATCGCCCATATACAATCCTTTAACGAGTCCATCGAAAAGAGTGTCAAAGTGCATAAATCCTCTAATAAGACAACCATAATGACTTCAAGTCTAAAGACCATTTATACCCATCTCGTATGAGATTCCCATAAACTAAAATCAAATGGGTTCTCATGGCAAGTCAAGTCCGGTGATATGTTCTCTAACATAAATCATCTAAGTGCTTGCTTTGGCACCACCATGCCAATAAGTGTAAGATCTCATACTTGTTATCATATAGCATAAACGTAGCACTCACAATTCTATCTATATATAGTCAATGTCCATTCTTGACAATGCTATGACTTGGGACGTTTAATGATATCATTTATATGCATTAGTGTTTGTCTCACATCTTTTGATCAATCATTATTGCACATGCATATCATAAGGACTTCTATCTAATTCTACTAAATTTACAAACATAAAACATAAGAATTAATAAAATGACTTCTTTATTATTATTAAAATAAAGAATGCAATAATATATTAATTCAAGCTCATTCAAACATGATTAGATCTTGGGCACCTACACTAACAAAAGAGAAAGAGAGAGAGCGTTGGTCACTCTTAGAAAGATGAACTTGTAAGGAGAGGAGAGAGATAATGTTAGGGTTTGGTGGGTTTTTTCAATCAGATTAAATTTGGGGGTGGAAAGAATGATTTAAGGCATTTTTAATTTTTTAAATCTTCCTCAAATTTGGTATGTGATTATGAGATTTCATGGCTTCTTATTCTTCTTCTTCTAATACTACTACTACTTCAAAATCATTAAATGTAAAAGTATAGGTGATAAAGTAATGGTGTTGTATACTTTGTTGTCTATGTAATATCAAATTCACGAGGTGAAATGCCGAATTCAACTTTGATATTACGTATTGGATGAGAGTTTGATAAAAATCTCAATTTAAAATACTTTAATGAGGTTTGTGAGATTAAATTGATTGACGAGTGATTATTTTTCTTTTCTAGCCTTGAAACAAGTTTTTAAAAGTTATCGGTGGATTTATCCCGAAAAGATACATTGTAGGGTTTTAAAGAATGTGGGTACATTAGAAACTTAGTTGATTTATATGTATGATGAAATATTTTGTTTTCATATTTCGATGATTTCATTGAGCAAGGGAATATAGAGTTTTTTTTATTAAGGATGTGAAAAGTTAGTTACCGATGTGAATGGATTGATTGACCTTGAGAATGGTGTTGAGAATATAGTCCGGGAACAAAATGTGCGGACAAATATAGATATTGATGATAGGATTGGTGAGGGTAGTAGTGGTACTAGACTTAATGATGTTGTAATTTCTTGTGAAAATAAAGGTATTTATGTAACTTATGGGGAAAGGTAATTTAATAATGTACATGGTGATAAAGGATACATTTAACTACTACTTTTTTATTTAGCATTGTTTCCTACTTTACTACTTCTTTCTATTTAGAATTGTTTGTTTCCTACATTATTGTTACTTCCAGTTTACCATTGTTTCATATATATATATATATATATATTCTCTCAAATCTTTATTGTATCAAAGCAATACATTCTTGGGACAACAAAACCTAAAACCTTTTTTTCTTCTTCTTTTGTCATTCCTATTACTATCCATCATGGCCAATAATCAAGTTACCATCACCAATACTCGAGAACCTAAAACACCGTTTGTTGTCATCAACACGACCAATGTTGTCAAACTCATTACCACCAATTACCTTTCCAGAAACTATAGATGAAGGCTCTTTGAATTGGATATGATATTTACCAATTTTTTTATGGTTCTCTTCCTGCTCCATCAAAAACAATCACCACCGATGCCATTAAAAATCCCAATCCCAAACACTAAACTTGGTTCAAGCAAGATAAACTCATCTTTAATGCTATTGTTGGCTCTATTTTGCCTTCTCTCATTTCTCTTATCTCACAATCTTAGACCTCATTTGAGGCCCGGAGCATTCTTGCCAACACATATGCCCGACCATCTTATGGACATATCAAACAAATCAAAAACTAAGTTAAAACTACTACTAAAAGAG